TTCCCTACCCTCTGGTCTTCTCCTAATGATATTTATATTGGGCAGGCTAGCTTAACAGGAAGTTGCAGTTCAGCCATACCTTAGGTTTCCTGGTCAGGACTTCTCTCTGTCGTCCCTTGCTGCATTGGCAAGATGGAGCCCCTAGGTAAAAGCTTAGTCCTTCATGGCTCGTACTCCCCCAAGATCAGGATGCCGTTGTAAGAGAGATTGTTTCTTGTGTCCTGAGGATTTATAATCTACCTGGTGGAGTCCATCCCACCTGGGGGTAATTTGGACATTCCTGCCCTAAAAGGAAGAGTCTACATTCTAACCGTTTGGCTCTTAGCAGTCTCTGTCCTCTTCGGGGTGTCACCAGGCAGCAGGGAGTGAGGTGGAAAGCCATTGTCCCGCTTCAGCCAGACTCATTAGCCTAAGCAAGAGCATGACGAAAGCTGCCAGTCTCCGGGTAGTGTCTGGAGATCTCCCAAAATTTCAGTTAATCTCCAGATCAGAGAGTTCAGGTCCCCCGGAGAAAAGGGCTGCTTTGGAGGGTGGACTCTCTAGGGCATTAAAGATACTGAGGTCTCTTCCCTCTCCAAACCCTGCTGTGCCCCAAATCTCCAGGTATTTCCCAACCCAGACTAGGGTTGATGGCCCTCTTCAACTCCATCCTTCTTGCTAGCTACTGCCCTGCAGCTGGGCTCCTGCACCTGGACCGAGAGCAATCACACTGATTGAAATATTGCTGTCAATTCTTCGGTGGAGGCCTTTTCGGCACATAAGCATTTGGGTGGGGTTACCATATTCTTAAGGAGCTGTGGTGGCTCAAGTGGTTAAGACGCTGAACTGCAGGCTGTAAAAGGTCGGTAGTTCAGCAGTTCAAGACCTGAGTGCTGCATGATGGAGTGAGCTTCTGTCTCTAGTTCCAGCTCCTGCATGGAAATGTCTTCAGAAGAAAAAGAAGAAGAAGAGATTGGATTTATACCCCGCCCTTCACTTGGAGTCTCAGAGCGGCTTACAAACTCCTTTCCCTTCCCCTCCCCACAACAGACACCCTGTGAGGTGGGTGGGGCTGAGAGAACTCTGACACAAACTGCTCTTTTACAAGGACAGCTGTGCCAGAGCTTGCGACTGACCCAAGGTCACATCAGCAGGTGCAAGTGGAGGAGTGGGGAATCAAACCCGGTTCTCCCAGATTAGAGTCCGCACACTTAACCACTACACCAAACTGGCTTCAGACAGCGCTGGCTCTTCGGCTTTGAAACGGCGATGAGCACCGCAACCCTAGAGTCGGATTCGACTGGCTTTTGAGCAACGGAACCTTTACCTTTTACCATATTCTTAAAAGCAAAAAAAGACATATTTCCTGACTGAGTACTTCAAGCAAGTGATCACTATGATAAGGCATATTTTAAACACCCCTACTCTTTAAGCTGTGATAACTGCTACTAATTAGGAATATTCCAAGATTCAGGTAGGGTAGCCGTGTTGGTCTGAGGCAACAGAACAAAATTTTAAGACCAACAAAGCTTTATTCAGTAAGTTTGTTGTTCTTAAGGTGCCACTGGACTCAAATTTTGTTAGGAATATTTCTAACCTCCGAACCCAAAAAAGGACATTTTCATTAGTTTTTTAAAAAGAGCCCCAAAGAGGATGGACCCCAGAAAAAAGGTCACGTTCTTTAAAAAGAGGACATTGTAAAACCCTACAATGTTTGTGTATATATATGTATGTATATGTAAACACACACACAAACATATACAACACCCATCATAGAAAAGGACTTATGACATTTAGTGATTACATGGTGAAATGTGGGTTTTTGCCAAGCAGTCGCTTACACGTCTCATGAAAACAATTCGCAAATTCCACTTCAGCCCATCAGACACAACACCAGGCCATGTGTTTCCCTCCACAGTTGCCTACCCAAAACACAACACATTCATTACCCATAGAGAGAGATTCGGGTGGGTAGCCATATTGGTCTGAAGCAACAGAACCAAGCTGGAGTCTATTGGTACCTTTAAGACCAACAAAGTTTTATTTGATGTATAAGCTTCTGTGTGCATGCACACTTCTGAAAAAATATATACATCTGGAAAAGTGTGCTTGCACACAATTTCTTAAAATTTATTTATTAAATTTTTATCCCCCCCTCCTGGCCAAGGCCGGCTCAAGTTCAACCCAGAATTAAACCTTGTTCATCTTCACAGTGCCACTGGACTCGGGCCTGTAGCTACAGTGGGGCATCTCGGGGCCCTGCCCCTTAATTTACAGCCACACCCCACAAGAGGCATGGGTGGGGATTGGTATGGGTAAGGAAGCAGGCGGCTTGGTTGCTTGGAAGGTAGGGAGGATTCATGGGATTTTATTTCTTGAGCAATAGAATAGTGAATCAACTGTTGGAAGATATGTTGTCGAAGGCTTGCACGGCTGGAGTTCATTAGTTGCTGTAGATTTTCCAGGACGTGTGGCCGTGGTCTTGGCATTGTAGAACCTGACGTTTCGCCAGTAACTGTGACTGGCATCCTCAGGAAGATGGAATACTCAGAAAGATGGAATACTCTCTGTGTCAAGATATATTAAACATAGTGGAATGCCTTTGTAATACATAAAGTGGCACTGAATAGCCATGTACTCAAGACAGAATGTGATAGCTTCTACCAACCCACATGGATGGGTTGTACAAGGAAATTAAACAGCCCTTTGGGGAGCCTGAGAGAACAATACAAAGTAATGTGGGGTCCCTAGAACACCCAAAACAATAAAAGTCACCTTGTAAAACTTCATGAATGGAGGGGTCATAGGGTAGAACCCACAATGCCCTCTTTCCACAGTTGGAAGTGCTGCATTAGGGAAAAAAGGGGGGTTATGCCTCTGTTGCTAATATCTATAGAAATCCAAAAAGGAAGAGGACACCTTAGAGATATGTTGTCGAGTTCATTAGTTGCTGTAGATTTTCCGAGATGTGTAGCCGTGGTCTTGGCATTGTAGAACCTGACATTTTGCCAGTAACTGTGACTGGCATCCTCAGAGGTATAAACACAGAAAGATGGAATACTCTCTGTGTCAAGTTGAGAAGAAAATGGTAGGCAGTAAATTTATATCGACTCCAGAAGGTGGCTAGGTCTTGTAGGAGTTCCCCAGGCGATGGACATGCTAATGGAGGAGCTTTCCTGAGGAGGTTCTTTTGTTTCCTGAGGAGGTTTCCTGCTTCCTGAGGAGGTTGTTGAAATTCTAATCTTATCTGTAGTGCTATTGTCTGATGTAGAGCCTTTTGTCTTTTTCAGGACAGGAAGCCATGTCCTATTTATTTTTAAACTCTCTTCTTTCCTGTTGAAATTATGTTTATGTTTGTGAATTTCAATGGCTTCCCTGTATAATCTGACATGGTAATTGAAAGTGTTGTCCAACCTTTCAGTGTCTTGGAACAAAATTAACTGTGCCCTATGTGGGAACGGTTGGGAGGGGGACGGGGTGCAGAGCTGGGTGGATATGAGAGAAATTTAGATTTCTTATGAATGCTGCGTCAACATGCAGCCTTGCATAACCTAGCTACCTCCAATGTATTCATCACACGCAGCATTGGTACTGGTACACATATCTACGGGCTCTTTTTGTAGCAGGTACTCATTTGCATATTAAGCGACACACCCCTAATGTAGCCAATCCTCCAAGAGCTTACAGTAGCTCCTGTAAGAAGAGCTCTGTAAGCTCTTGGAGCCCTCCACTCCCTCATAATTGTTGCCACACAAGGGGAAAATATGCCGCCCCCAAAACAAAAAATCCTGCCTACAGGCCTGACTGGACTCCAACGTGGTTCTACTACCCAGAGAGACACTTCCAGCTTTTCACCATAGAGTGGGCAAGTCAGGGAACGACCGTGCCCTCGCCCTCCCCTTCTTGCCGGAAGTTCGCTCTGCCCCTCCCTCTGAGATCTCTCCTCTTTCTACGCCGCCGGCTTCGCCTCCGTCCAGCAAGCCCCGCCCCTTCCGTCGCCGTCCCCATCTCCGCTCACACGCCGAGGGAGGTGGGCGCCTCCCGGACGCCATTTCCGCTTCCGGTTTCCTGCGGGAAGAGTCGCTGGTCCTGGGGGTGTTCCCCCCCCTCCTTTCTCTGGGCTCTGAGGCGGAGAAGGGGACGCGGCGGCCGTGCAGTCAGCGTTTGCGCGGAGTCCTACTCCGAATTCCGCTCCGCTTGAGGAAGGTAAAGCGGCTCGAGGGTATGTGCGCGCGCGGAGGGGGATGACGCGGGCGAGGGAAGCGGCCGCCGCTCCTCCGGTCCGGGGGCGGTGGGTGGAGAAGCCGAAGGAGGCGTGGCTGGCATCCTCTGGCGGCGAGGAATTAGCCTGATGGGCGCTTGTCTGTGTTTGTGTGTGAGTGAGAGAGAGAGACCGGGGTAGGTTCTGCGTCCCTGAACCGCCCCCCTCTCCCCCCCCCCGCGAGGCTCCCCGCCGCGTCTCTGCCTGAGTCCCTGTCGCGTCCCTCCCGCCTCTTTCCAGCGGGCTGCCACGTCTCTGCTTCGGGTGTCATTGGAGCGTCCTGTCACTCCCGCTGGAGGACGGGCGGCGAAATCAATTCATCCACCCAGGAGCCCCGCCCCGCCCTCGCTGCTGTGCTTTTGTCGCCTGACAACGCGGCTCCCGTTCGGCTCCTTAGTTTGTGTGCAAGAATGGAGGGTGCCTTTGGCTTTGGAGGTGGGGGGCGGCGTTCAATGCTCCCTCTAAGCTGTGGAGTCTTGTGAGCAAGAATTCTCGTTTGTGAGCTGCTGGCATTAAGAGTGGTGAGCGAGGGATTTGGCTATGGCATGAATTAGTTTGCTCTGTCCATCCCATCACCCAAAAATGGGTGAGCCGGAGGCTAAAAAGAATGTGAGCTAGCTCACACTAACTCAGCTTAGAGGGAACACTGGTGGCGTTGTCTTTTGCACTGCTCAAGCGGAGGGTTACCATTTTTTTTTTTTAACAGCAGGATGAAATAGCCTTTCTCCTTTATTTACAGGTCGTGTTTATTGAAAAGGGTCTAGGCTGTGCTTAAAAATGAGCAAAACACAAATGGTAATGCCGGTGGCAGCCCTGTAGTTGGGGAAGTAACTGTTGGGGGCGCCCTGGGTGTATTGCTATCAGTGCCTTGCTTTACGGTTGAGGCTGGTCACGTGGGTTTTTTGTATTGTCTCAAATAATCACTTGGCGTGTGTCGATCTGCCATTACATGCATAGCTTTGTTTTGCATGTTTTTAGTTCGGACGTCCTCCAAGGAATTACACATTTCTGTAGGGTTTTTTGGGTCGCGTATTCAGCTGCAACTATCAAGTAAACTGTGATCTAGCATAGAGAAGAGCTGTCTTATGCAAGTGGGAATTCGGGGAGGTGAAAATTCTGCCTCTGGTATTGTATCGTGAATGGCCACATTCTCATGCAAAGCGTTTTGTTAAAAGTGATCAAGCAATAAACATTCACATGTGAATTAGACACTGGGTTCTTAGAAGGACCAGAAAACTTCTTTGTAATCCTGGCAGCGGATGCTGGGTGGTGGTGATAGAGCGGGTTTAATTCTCAGTGCCGCTGATTAAGGTATTTCCAGATAAGACTGTTTCATTGTCTGTGGGAGATAATGGTGCTGTAGCTATTTGATACTCCGTTTCTGAAGCTCTCTAGCTATACTACTACTTAACCACACCATTGGGATTCATGAGCCTTCGGGGTAGGGCGGGATATAAATCCAAAGATAAAATAAATAAATAAATAAATGGATCAAAAGCCTGGTACTGTGACAGATTTTGTTGGTCGCAAGAGACCACCACTTCGCAGGATTCTCCCTTGTCACACAACTTCTCACCTTCTCCAATGCATGAAGTTCCCTAGCAGGCGTTTAAAAAGGGTCAAAGGCATAGAATCCATATAAAGCCACTGAAGCCTGGATTGCTAACTGAGGGATAATATTGAGAAAGAAACACACTAGCGAGGTAACCAATTAGCAATCAGTTAGGAGTTGTAGGATGTTAGGGTTTTCAATACTTGTGTCCACTGATGGGAAATGGACTGCTGAGGTCTTGCTTTGTCAATAGAAGTTAGCTAGTCATTCAGTTTTGGTGAGTTCCTTTTTTGTTGTTCGACTCCTCGCGACCCCATGGACCACATCACGCCAGGTCTTCTGCCGTTCTCCAGAGTTTGTCTTGATTTCATGACTTTCTAGTGGTCTGCAATATATCTAGTTGGGTTATGATGATTTGTCTGGGTTTCGTCTATGTTGAAATTTATGCTTAATTATTAAAGGTCTGTTCTGTTTAAAATTCTTTGCCTGAACTGGCTGCTTTTAGCTGTCACTCATATTGTCTAAGAGCCATTCCCTCTCTGCTGACCCCAGCAAGGGATGAAAAGAGGTATCTGAAATATCTACAGTACAAGTTTAAAGAAGTACATATAGCCTTCTGCTACTGCAGCTAACACTAGAATCCTAAACAAGGTTAAGCCTATGTTCACTGACGTCAATGTGGGTACACCCCAATGTGTGGGGTGTAACTCTGTTTAGGATCAGACTGTTTGAGGGCAATTCTTGTTTTTTAAATTTTTATTGAATATAAAGTCAACAAGCAATGGTGAAACATTAAAGTAACAAGTAAAGTGATGACAACGCAATAATAAGATCTATATAGCATGAAACATGGGAGATATTACTAAGACAGTATAGTCTATATATTAATATCACAGTAAATAAAACATCAGAATTACTGACAGATCTAAGGTTTAAAAATGTTTCAGAACAGTATACTTAACAATACAGCTAGTAAGTTTCATTTAGTTTGAGAGCAATTCTAAGCCGGTCTATTCAGAATCCTACTTGGGTCTGTACAGTCGGGCTTACTCCCAGGAAAATATTTTTAGGATTGCACTGTAAATTACCTGCTAGACCCAGTAATCCCTGCTGGCATACTGTAACACCTCAGTTGTCCAGAAAAGGAAACTTCACCAAAGCGATGATATCTTTGAAGATCTTTAATTCTCACTCTTGAAGCAGGGGACCTTTCTCACTCACAAATCTCCAGTCTCTGACTCCAAACTTGACCAAATCCTCTCCCTTTCCCGGTACACAGCTCCTTTTGGCTGATTCAGAGCACTGCTGTTATTGTTGCTGGGCTACATTCCTGTGTTCTGTCTGTCACCGGTCCTATGCCGTACAATCCCTATTTTATTTTAAAGTTTGGAACCATGCAACCATCTGGTTTGAACTTGTCCATGGATTTGTCTGTGTTCCTGTAAATACTTATTGTTTGTATGTATTCATTTAAGATTCTCTCCAGCTGTTTGTCATTAGGGAGTCTGGGGCGTTTTTTAGCTAGCCAACATGGACTGGTGATCAGAACCTGATACTTGTTTGGAATATATTTGTAGACTACGTGCTGTTTTGAATCTTACCAGAGCTTGGTGGGGTAAGTTCTGGAGTCCCATAAGTATGCTTCCTCTATTACTATGGAATGTAATTTACAGCAAGTGTAATGTTTGCAGCTCCATCACTAAAGCAGGCGGCCTGACGAAGCCTTAAGAAACGGCGAAGCAACCTGGGCATGCCATCGCCGCTCCTTCAGTTCACGCTGCAGCTATTTCTGAGCCTGTGCCGTCTGTTTTGTGTTTTCTATTTGAAACACCTCTCTGCATCGTGAGCTGGTGACTGCATCATTCTAAAGAGAGACTTATACTTTCAAGGACTATTAGGTCACTATTCAATGGGCGTAGATGTTATTCGTGCACAGTGGCAAAACCATTTGTTGTGTGTATTGTTTATAGTTGTAATAAAGGTAAAGGTTCCGTTGCTCGAAAGCCAGTCGAATCCGACTCTCGGGTTGCGGTGCTCATCTCCGTTTCAAAGCCGAAGAGCCAGCGCTGTCTGAAGACATTTCCGTGGTCACGTGGCCGGCATGACTAAACACCGAGGCACACGGAATGCTGTTACCTTCCCACTGTATAAAATGGAAGTCTCTTGTGTAATTTGTGCAGCGTGACAGATTATTCTGTTTATTTGTTTGCATAACTGCATTTGCTGTATTTCCATTCTTGTGTGGTTGTACAATCCTTACTGGCTTTTGGCCGTGTTCGTAAAACAGTGAAGGTTTCAAAGATTCTAATCTGCATCCCAGCATTTCAAAGAGGGGGGTCAGTATGAACATCACAATGACAGACTTGTTGTGGTTGGTATTGGAGTGCCGCAAGAGATGGGAGCAAGATGTGGCTTGGATGAGATTAGCCTTCGGAGAATTAGAGACTTGAGACTTCTTGGGCATTATCTGTGTTTAAGGCGTGGATACTTCAGCGCAAGCAGTTAAGCGTTTCCAGTAGGCTGGTACACAGAAATGGCCTACTGCAAGATATGCCTGAAAGAGATAACGGAACATCAGTAGTTGTCACTTAACAGCTCTCAGCTTAGAACAGTCCTTTACAGCACCAGTGATCTACAGCCCATCCTGGCTAAACAGTCTTTTTTTTAAAAAAATACACTTTCTTAAATTTTTAAGGTTCTATAGGGGTAGAGAAGAGAAAGGAAACAAAGAAAGAAAGCCTTCTGCATACAAATTTTCTCCACTTATCATTTCAAATTACCAAAAGATAGACTGTTAATTTTTAAGAGTTCATAAAGGCTTCTTCATATCATATTATCAGAATATTCGTATCTTTATGTTTCTTTTTTTATCCAGTCGTAAAAAGGAGTCCATAGTCCGAAGAAATCTTCTTCCATTTTGCCCTCTTAGCATCAAAGTCAGTTTATCCATCTCCGCACTTTCCATAATGTTCACTATTAAGTCTTGTTCCGAAGGTATTGTTGGAAGTTTCCAAAGGGTTGCAGATAAGATTCTAGCTGCTGTTACTACATGTATTATAAAGTATCTTTGATTTTTGTCAAAATAATCTGGTATAAAGGTTAAGGTAAAGGTTTCCCTTGCTCCAAAGCCAGCCGAGTTCGACTCTAGGGTGTGGTGCTCATCTCCATTTCCAAGCCGAAGAGCCGGTGCTGTCCGAAGACGTTTCCGTGGTCATACAATTCAGTAAAAACAACTCAGGTCAAAAAGGTATTGAAATCTGCAGAACTGTCTGTATAAATGTATGCACTATAACGCAGAACTTATTTACAATTTCACATGTCCACCACATATGATAAAATGTACCTACATGCTTTTTAATGGCTAAACAGTCTTTCACCTAGTCCTTTCTTTGC